CCCTGCCCAGCCCGGTGCCCTGCCCTGTGCCTTGTGCCCTGCCCGGTGCCCTGCCCTGTGCCCTGCCCTGTGCCCTGTGCCCTGCCCGGTGCCCTGGCGCTGCTGTCACATCACCCTGCGGTTCCTGTCCCTGCCTGTGTCTGCAGCTCAACAGAAACCCCCAGTCTGCAGTGCCTGAGTGGGACCGTGAGCAGAACTAACTTTACTTGCTTAATGTTTAAGAGCAGTTTGAATACTTATTTTCTAATTTCAGGGACCCACTGGGCTTTCAGCCTGCTGGAAATAGGGATTTGGGGCACATGGTGGCCAGAGGCCAGGCATGGCTGGCCAAGTTTGTCTCACACTCTGCTTGCCATCACTGTCATAGGATGGACAGGTGACACTGTGTGAAAGAAACCCTGCCTTACTTTCTCTGCTGTTAGATTAAGTGGAGATTCCCTGTGTTGTAGGGAGTTCTTGTTGTCTGTGTCAGTATAGAATCATAGAGTCATAGACTTGTTAGGGTTGGAAGGGACCTTGAAGCTCATCCAGTCCCACCCCTGCATGGGCAGGGACACCTCCCAGCAGCCCAGGTTGCTCCAAGCCCCATCCAGCCTGCCCTTCAACACTGCCAGGGATGGGGCACTGTGCAATGTACTGAGCTGGGGCTGTAAAGACTTGGGGAAAAGTTAATGCAGGAGGGGCTGAGCCATTTCCAAGCTGCACTCGCTCATCTGTGTTCTCTGCATCCTTCTAGGTCCTGCAGTACCGGACCCGGTGCCGGGAGCTGGAGCAGCAGCTGGAAGCAGGAGAGGTGAGGGCAGGTTGCTCACTAAAGATAGTGTAGGTAGCATTTGTTAATGCAGACAAGAAAAGCTCCCCAAAGCAATGGAAGACAAAAACAGGGTTTGTCTCCCTGAGGGTTTAAAGGAGCACTTGTAAGGTTGCCCATCAGTGTTTTTCCAATTGCCATTCCTGGAGCAGCCAGTAGTCCCCAAGTCCAGGAGACCCTATCAAGAAGGATTTAAGCTTTGTGAGAGTGCTTTATTGCTGGAGTAACACTAGTCCTGGGTCTCAGGAGAGGGCTGTATTGCCTGTTACATGACATGGCTCTCTCCACTAAAGCGTTGGTTGAAACATGGTGCTTTGGCAGGCCAGAATGCTAGTGTTCAACATAGAGAGCTGGTCCATGCTTTTCTTTTTGGTTCACAGCTAAAGTAAACCTAGAGGGGGAAGGGTGGGAGAGTAGGAGAACATTCCCAGCCTTCACATCGAAGTGAGCACTTGCTGTCCTGAGCTGAGGATTCCTAGCTGTGAGAGTGCAACAGTGGGAGACTAAGGAGAGCTGCTCACATTGAGTAACACCCTCCTCTTCATAGTCACAACACCATTATGTCTGGAAGAAGCCTCGAGTAGGAGAGCTGCTCACATTGAGTAACACCCTCCCCTTCCCTCCTCTTCATAGTCACAACACTATTATGTCTGGAAGAAGCCTCGAGCTCCTGAGATGCCCAGCAAATGGAGGGGAAAGTGATGGCTGCTAACAGTAGAGAAGGGAACACAAGAATGTGACTAAACATTTCCTTTCTTCTTAAGGGATCCCTTCCAGGCAGATGGGAAGCCACAGCAGACCACAGCCTGGAGAGTGCACTGCTTCAGCAGAGGTACATAGAAGTGTTCCCTCATACTTGGTATCCTGGATGCTCGTGGAAGTGAGAGCAACTTGTCAGTGCTACCTGTCAGCATCCCCAAAGGAAGCAGTTGGGCAAGCTGCTCAGAGAGGAGAAAGGTCCACAGTCTGTTCTGTGGTGCAGTAGTAGTGTTGTGTGCTAAAGAGCTCTGTTTTCAGCAGGGGGTTATTCCAGATGGCCTCCAAAGGTCCCTTCCCAGCCTGGGTTATTCTGTGGTACAGCAGGTGGCCAGCTCAGGGCAGTGCTAGCCAAGTGATCCATCCAATGACCAGGGAGCACAAGGGGGAGGCAGGACATGAGCTGGGGCATCATCACAGTTGGAGAGGAAGGGCTCCAAAGTTGTAGATGGAAACTGAAGGCTCAAGGAAAGGAGAAGCAAATTAATTTGCTGTAACAGGGAGATCTTAGTTAATCCTAGAAAGCATTTTTACTGCCTGTCAGTTTGACAACAAAGCCAGTGCTGAGGGGCTGGAAGCTCGGGGGGATGCTGCTGGTGGACAGTTGTTGTGCAGTGACCTCGTGGCTGTTCCTCCCTTTCCCAGGTGTGAGAATCTGGCAGAGGAGAACACTGTCCTGCGGGAGCACCTCGATAAAGCAAATGAGATTAATTCAGCCCTCAAAGAAGATGTTGGAAAACTGATGGCAGATTGGATGAGGGCCCGGGATGAGCTGGAGATGAAGGAGAGTGAATGGCGCAGTGACCGTGAGGTGGGGACAGGCTGTGGGAATGTCAGGTGTGATGCCAGAGTGGAGTGGGAACGCGTTTTATTTCTGGTATAGAGAACTTGCTGTGTTGAGGATGTGTTGGTGTTGATGAGACAAGGGCAGGGGTGTGAGTGGGAGGATTGTGGTGACAGGTTTTGTGACAAAGCGTTTCATTGCTGGAGTAACGTTGGTCCTGGTTCTGAGGAGAGGGCTGTACTGCCTGTTACATGGCATGGCTGCCTCCACTAAAGCATTGGCTGAAAAATGGCATTTTGCAAGGCCAGATATTGGTGTTGATGAGTGGAGGACAAGGGTGTGAGTTGGAGAAGTATCAGCAGATTGTGGTGATGGACAGTGCCCACCAGCTGTGACCATGCTGCTTGGTCTCCAAGGCAAATCTGGCTGGTCCTGAGCTCTGCAGGGTGGTCACACAGGACTCCTTGTCTGGTTAATAGTTCCCAAATCTCCATCTAGAGCAGTGGAGACAGGAGAGGTCTGTGTGTTTTCAGGCTCAGAGGAGCCAACACAAGAACAGGACAGGCCAATCTGCTATAAGCAAATCTGGCAGAGGTGTTGGAGGGCCTTGTTTTGGTGTTCCTCCACCTAGACCATCAGACATCTCTGCAAGGAGAGGTGATGGGTCGTGGACATTCCCTCCAGGTGCCAGGTCTGCTGAGGCTGCTTCTTTGGTGCCTCTGCAGTCCTTGGTGCCCCTGTTGGAATGGCTGTTAGAGGAGACTGGAGGCTGGTGGCTTTGCTCTCTCCTACCTGAAAGGCTTGTGCAGTGACAGCAAAGGCTGAACTGGCCTTTCTTTTTGTCTCTCTAGCTCTA